CAATACCCCACAAGCACAAGCAACCAAAGCAAAAATAGACAAAAGGGGTCATATCAAGTTAAAAAGCTTTTGCACAGCAAAAGATACAATCAACAAAGTGAAGAGACAACCCACAGAAATGAAAGAAAGTATATTAATGACCAGAATATATAAGGAGCTTAAACAACTCTCTAGGAAAAAATCTAAAAATTTGACCAAAAAATGAGCAGAAGATTTGAACAAACATTTCTGAAAAGAAGATGCACAAATGGCAAACAGGCATATGAAAAGATGGTCAATATCATTGATCATCAGAGAAATGCAAATCAAAAGTACAATGAGACATTATCTCATCCCAGTTAAAATGGCTCATACCAAAAGACAGGCAATAATGAATGCTGGTAAAGGTGTGGAGAAAAGGCAACTCTTGTATACTGTTGGTGGGAATGTAGATTTTTACAACCACTATGAATAACAGTCTGAACATTCCTCAAAAAACTAAAACTAAAAATTGAGCTACCATATGATCCAGCAATCTCACTTCTTGGTGTATAACCCTAAGAAAGGAAATCAGCATATGAAAGAGATATCTGCACTTCTGTGTTTGCTGCAACACTATTTACACTAGCTAAGATTTGGAAATAGCATAAGTGACCATCAATGGAAGAATGGGTAAATAAAATGTGGTACATATACACAATGGAGTACTATTCAGTCATCAAAAATGAGAACCAGTCATTTGCAACAATATGGATGGAACTGGAGATCATTATGTTAAGAGAAATAAGCCAAGCACATAAAGACAAAACTGCATGTTCTCACCTATTTGTGGTATCTAAAAATCAAAACAATTGAACTCATGGACATAGAGAGTAGAAGCATGGTCACAGAGGCTGGGAAGGGGAGTGGGAGGGTGGCAGAGGGAGGTAAGGATGGCTAATGGGTACAAAATAATAGCTGGAAAGAATGAATAAGACCTACTATTTGATAGTACAACAGACAATAGTCAATAATCACTTAATTGTGCCTTTTAAAATAACTTAGAGTGTAATTGAATTGTTTGCAACTTGAAGGATATATGCTTGAGGGGAGAGATACCCCATTCTCCATGATATGCTTATTTCACATTGCATGCCTGTTTCAAAACATCTCCTATACCCCATAAATAAATACACATACTGTGTACCTACAAAAATTGAAATTAAAAAACAAACGTGAGCAGAAGGCAAACAATTCTGCCTGAGGAGCAGTGGTTCAACCCAGTTTTCTCTCATAGAACCCCAGTTGCTGTCTTGGAGTTGGCTTGTCTCCAAACCCTCCACTTTGTTCCATTTGTTCTGCTTGTGTAGCCTGTCTTTGCTTTTGATCAGGCCCATGCCTAGCTGTATAGCTATCTGCTAACCTGGACTTACTGACCTGGAGTGCACACCATGCCTGCTCTCTCATGGCTGGCCTCACATGCTGAAGTCTGAACTGGCTTCCTTCCCTGGATTCATGGTACCAATGGGCACTTTCTGCTTTCCCTGGTGTTCCAGGGCCATTCTTCTGGCCTGGCTCTGGTTCCTGGCCTTTTCTGAGAGAAGTCCTACTTTGCTGCTGCTGCTACTACTTCTGCCAGACTGGGTTAGATTCCCTTGTACTCTTGTCTGAGCAGCTCAGAGTTTTTGTCATTTTTTTATTCCCTCACGTTACCAATAAGAAGTAATTGCAAGAAGGGTAGAAAGTAGAACAAGAGTATTGTTTCCATTTTACAGAAAGCTAGACTCAAATCCAAAACATTAAGGTGGCTATGTTGATCAAATTAAGATCAGCTTAATATAGTACCAGCTTCCCCTGACACTCATTCCTGCTCTCTTCTCTGCCAATATTCTCAAGATTTGGGAGAATCCTGTTGCAGTAACACAGAAGATGAGACCCAAAGCAGGATACACCACCTGCCAATGTCTTGTTCACCCTCAGCCCTCTGACAGGACCTTGGAAGAAGGTGGAAATCCTGTTTCTATGTAAAGAAGGCCATCATGGGAAGGTTTACTGTATTAGTTTCCCAGTACTACCATAACAAAATATCACAAATTAGGTGGCTTAAAAAAAAAAAAACAAAAATTTGTTGTTTTACAGTTCTGGAGGCTGGTAGTTCCAAATCAAGGTGTTCAAAGGGTAATGTTCCCTCATACCCCTACAAGAAAAAGTAGGGGACTTTTTTCTTCCTGCTTTCTAGCTGCTGGTGTTGCCTGCAGTGTTTGGCATTCCTCAGCTTGTAGATGTATTATTCTGATGCTCCACCTTCACATGGCATTCTCCCAGTGTCTCTGTCTTCACCTGGCTGTCTTCATAGAGGATAACAGTCATATTGAATTAGGGGCTCACCCAACTCCACTATGATCTTAATTTAACTAGTCATATCTGCAACAACCCTATTTCCAAATGAGGTCACATTTGGAGTTACTGGGGCTTAGGACCTCAACATATCCTTTTTTCAGTGACACATAAAGTTCACTCATAAAGTGACTATCACAAATTCAGCTCATAAAGGTATTAAAATAAGTTGAATTCCCTTTTAGAGAAGAAGTGGTCCAAGGGCATGGGGATTACAGAGCATGAAAAGGCAAATGCACCTTAAAAATGCTTTTGAGGGCCAGGCACGGTGGCTCACGCCTGCAATCCCAGCACTTTGGGAGGCTGAGGCGGGTGGATCACGAGGTCAGGAGTTCAAGATCAGCCTGGTCAACATGGTGAAACCCCGTCTCTACTCAAAGTACAAAAATTAGCTGGGTATGGTGGTATGAACCTGTAATCCCAGCTACTTGGGAGGCTGAGGCAGGAGAATGGCTTGAACCTGGGAGGTGGAGGTTGTGGTGAGCTGAAATCATGCCACTGCACTCCAGCCTGAGTGATACAGCACAACTCTATCTCAACAACAACAAAATATATATACTTTTGAGGTTTGCATCAAGAAGCAGGTATCCTATCTTCTAGGTCCCCTCCTCACAAGGCAGGAGAGGCTCACAGGCACCAGCTCCCCTGCAGGGCCTTGTAGGAAGACCCTGACAACAGCAAGATCTCCCCAACACGTATTATAAAGTGAGAGGCACAGGCGTTTCTCTCTTTGCTTCTGGGAAGAGTCCTGCATTCAAAACTTTTCTTAACACTTAATTCAGTCTTGTCCTCAAATTTTCCACAATCTAGAGGCCAAAACTAAGGTTCAGTTCTTGAATTTGCCTCATGTTCAAGCGTTATCACATTTATTATACTGAGGACATGTGGTCCAGATGAGTATATTCTTTATACAGGTTGGAGGATCTGGAAAATCTAGAAATCAAACTACAGTCTCTGTTAAAAAAAAGCCAGGCAGATTTATTCTGAAGAAGAGAATAAAGGATTGGGGAATGGAAATAATGACTACTTTCAAACAATTGAAGAGCTATTACTTAAGGAGACAAATGGTTCTTATATGTTATTTTTTCTTTTTGATAGAAACCCCTAGCAAACAAAAAATATTAACACAGAAGTATAAAGAAATTGAACAGGAAAAAGGAGAGAGAAAGATGCTGAAATTGAAGCAGAATGTTCCAGGAGATAGGCCAAGCTCTCTCAAAATATAATTTTGAGCATGTCAAAGACTCAAAGAACCTGAGAGTTGTAAAGCAACTTGAGATAATGTCATCATTTTTTCTTTCTTTGTGCAGAAAATGCTTTTATTGCATTCCTGACAGTGGTCTTCTAGCTACCACCTGATTATTTCAAAGACACAGAAATCACTAACTATACCATAGAGCATCCCATTTCCTTTTGGATGGTCAGTTTTAATTATTAGAAGATTCTTCCTTATCTTGAGCCAAACTTTAACCCTTGATTTCAACCACCCTTTGGATAATCCTAGGCCTAGTTTCTAGTGTATGTCTTCCAGACAGGGTTCCATTCAGCTCTAGGGTTTCTGGAGACCCTCCTGTATCTGTCTACGATGGAATGAGGAAGAGACAGTGATAACACTTGAACGTGAAGACAGTGCAGAAATCATATAATTAATTTTCTCATTTACTTGTGGTCCTGAGACAGAGAGCATAACCTGCAGAAGTCAAGTCTTGCCTATATATATATATATGCCTATAAAATATATATAGATTTTAATTTAATTTTTTTTTTCTTGGAGGCGGTCTTACTCTGCCACATGGGCTGGAGTGCAGTGGCATGATCTTGGCTCACTGCAACTTCCACCTTCTAGGCTTAAGCAATTTTCATGCCTCAGCCTCCCAAGTAGCTGGAATTACAGGTGCACGCCATCACGCCTAGTTCATTTTTGTATTTTTAGTAGAGATGGGGTTTCATCATCTTGGCCAGGCTGGTAACTCCTGAGCTCTGGCAATCTGCCCACTTTGGCCTCTCAAAGTGCTGGGATTATAGGCGTGAGCCACACTGACCAGCCAAAAAATTTATGATGCTGAATTCCAATCCTCTCAGAAGCGATCATGAAGAAGGATTTCCTGGTTCTGAAAGTTTTCCTTTATTTGATCTTTGTATGTCATTTTACTGTCACAGAATTGCTGGGGAGTAGTCAGCCTACTCTAAACACACACTATGCTCATTCTTAAATCCATGAGTGTGGTACACTTTATTCCTCAACTAGTACTGATTGTATTTAGCAGGTTGCAGTCATTGAAGGCAAGGACTCTGTATTCACATGTACAATGCTTGCCTTTTACTAGATGTTCTATAATGTGTGTTGAATGACTGAATGATGCATCTTTCTGTGCTGTTATTCTTGGCTTCTTGTCTATCTTCCCTCTCCCTGCCAATCTAAATTGGATGATAAGCAACTTGAGGTGAGGTCTGATGCTCTATATGCTGCTGAAATGACAGAACCCTTAGGGAATGCTGGGCGCTGGAGAGTAACAGAGTAAATACTGTTGATTGATGATTAGAGAGTGAGTGGGTCAATTGTTGTCATGTAAGTCTGGGACTCATACGCATGGGCATGTACTTATATTTCTATTCATGTTTTATATAACTGGCTTTTGACTCACCTTGGTACCTTGATCCAGCTTCCTCCAGCACAGTCCTGTAGTCAATGCTCGGGTCATGGAAATACTTCACATAGATGCGACAGTGCACACATCTTTTATGAGCTCTGGTGACTTGGGTTGTACCTTGAAATTGCAAAAGTGAAGGTTTGTTTAATGATTTTTAATTAATTTTAATTACTTACATTTTGAATGGTGGCTTAGCATTCTGAATCCCAGCCCCTCAGATCACTCTGGGATGCATGCCAATTTCCTCATTACACACTGCTCCCTTAACACTATTTGATAATGAAAGGCTTTAAAGCAACCCCCATTCAAATATTCAATACATAATGGGGAGCTCTTGGGAGACAGGAGTGGATTACAGTGTAGGGTATAGATAGTATAGCTTATTGGACCTGAATTTATAAAAAGGTATTTTCAGGAGGGAACATTCTGCTTTTGGCAATGAGGCAGAACTCTTCCTCCTTTTACCCTTGTCATTATGCTTCAGTGTCCTAACCCTAATGCTATCCTCATCAATGCCTGGAATGATGAGCTAATAGGAGCAATCGTCCTAAAGGGATTAGATGGCATTTCCCCTAAAGGTTGAAATGTCATTTAATTTTAAAAGATGTATTGGAGATAAATCAGAGGAGAGCGAGAAGTGAGAAGCATTAACTTGCTAACAGAGAGGATATAGGTGAGATACTTTTTTTTTGTTTTAGATGGTAAAACACACACCAGCATAGGCTTCCAAGCAAGGTTGAGAACTCCCTAGGGGGAAAGGCCATAGCATTTTGTAATGTACATGAACTTTGACACAATACCAGTGAAGTTCCAAACACTAAGATGTTTTAGCTGTGGGATCAGGGCAAATAATTTGGCACTCAGAATTTAGTTTCCACAGTTCTAAACTCATTCCTGTCTCAACGACCAGAGAGAAAGTTCAATATAGTATTTGGCACATATTAGATGCCCCCAAGTAGTAATCCTTCCCTCCTTTATCTTATGTTTAAAAATATAAACAGGTCTTGTTGTTTTGAGACCATATAGGAAAAGTTCTACCTAGAGGCAAGGGAGGATAAAATGATTCCTGGAATTACATATAGTGCTAAAATATTCCAAGGATATGATAATTTAACAGGCATCATTTGTCTCTCTCCACTCTAATGTTGTCTAGAGAGAAAAGCAGTAGTAGAAGAAAGAGTTATATCTGCTGGAGAATGTATGACAAACTTGATCCAATAGGTGATGGCCTATGGCCCTGGTTTCCTGAGGGTCCTGAGACTATGAATGAGTGTTGCTTGGAGTGCTTGTGCTAGTGACATAGCCTAAATCAGCTGATCAGTCTTGGGCATCGGAGAACAATGTATACAGCTTCCCACTGTGGCTGAGACACTCAGCTTATTATCAGAGCTGAAATGGGAGGGGGTCAGACTATAATATTTTTGTGGACAATGTGGCTCACTGAGGAGTAAGATATAGCCACTCACATTTATTCAAAGGATTTAGAAACACTACTTTCTGAGGTGGCAGTTGAATGTTACTCCAATTCCAGATGCTTATAAAAGATATATTTACTGGTCATCATATAAGATATTTTCATTTCTCTCTTTTTCTCTGTCTATTTCATTCTTAATTGGCTTCTTTTCCATTTTCCTTATTTTTCCCTTGACTAACAACTGAGAGTTGCCATTTGAAATCTCTGTCAGGAGTTGTGAAGTAGCAATTCATTAAGGTGATTAGAAATTGTTATCGAAGGAAAGAAATTTTAAGAGTTATATGAGGCCAGATGAGGTGGCTCATGCCTGTAATCCCAGAACTTTGAGAGGCCAAGGCAGGCAGATCACTTGAGCTCATGAGTTCAAGACCAGTTTGAGCAACATGGCAAAGCCCTGTCTCTACAAAAATACAAACATTAGCCAAGGTTGGCAGTGTGTGCCTGTAGTCCCAGCTACTAGGGAAGCGGAGGTAGGAGGATTGCTTGAGCCTAGAAGGTTGAGGCTGCAGTGAGCTGTGATTGTGGCTTTGCACTACAGCCTGGGTAACAGAGTGAGACTCTGTCAAAAACAAACAAACAAAAAAAAACACGAATTATATGAGTTCACCAAAGTCAAGGATGTTTGGTCTTAGCAGACTTCTTTTCCTGATCAATTTCTTGTCAATAGACTGAAGCGGACATGATGAGTGCTGCCACCCAGGGATGTTGGAAGCAAAGGTGAACTCAGTAGAGGTGAGTCAAGTGGGAAGTAGCTGACCTCTTTTCTGTCCACAGTCTGTGCATAATTCATAGCACAGAGATTACATACAATTTCTTATTCATGAACCTTTAAGCAGACTGGTTATTACTCTTGGCCAACTGAAAGGAGGTGACTCCCTCTACCAGCATCAAGGACACATAAATATTCTCAGACCCTTAAAAAACAGTCATCAGTTCCTTCAAAGTCCTTAGTTTTGAACTCTTGCTAAGCTGTTGCATATCCACTTTCAAAAGGACCTTTTGTATCAAAAGACTCCACTGTCGGCAGAGGTAAATACAAGTGTCACTCCTGGAATATGGAGGACTGAGGGACAGGAGGTCTACAGGGTGAAATGGACAGGAGTAAAGTCTACTCATTTTCTTCTTTATGGCAGTTGGAATTGAATTAAAAATAAGCCAGGGGCCCAACATAACTAGGTTCCAATTCTATTCCTTCCTCTCAGCCCCATTTCCCCTGTCTTCTCATCCACATCAGAAGACGGTCCAAGTGTCTGCAATCTTGAGATGAATCATAACGGGTGTTTGAAATAAGGGCTGAGAGTACTACTTCTGCTCTTGTGTTTTCCATGCAGCCAGAGTGAGTGAAGAGAGAAGGGCAGATGGGAGGGGGAGTCAGGGAAGAAGTGTGGGCATGCAAGCTTGGTGTCATGGGAACTTCCACCCAAGAATGGGGTGCATTGTCATCATGGTTCCACATAGGTTTGTGCCGCAAGATGCTGAGACTCACCTGCTTTCTTTACCCAGTAGTTGAGAAAGCCAGCAAAATCCTTCTGTAGCCTGGATCAAATTCACTCCCGTGCTACCCTGCTCAAGGTCCCAGCCCAGAAGTATTTTTGTGTTCAATGCTATGGAGTAAAAGCTAAAAAGATATAGTTCCTGTCTTTGCAGTTTAACAAATTTTTATAGGCATTTCATCTCTGACAGCCATTTCATGCTTCTTTTACTAAAGCTTGGGAGGCTGCCGGGGCCAGTTCTCAACACCTTTGAGAAGAGAATTTCACTTCTCTGAAATTTTAGAGCAAGTTTTTTATAGCTTTGGCTCCTGTGTGGTCCTCGGCGCCTGTATGTGACGCATGTTGTGTTGCTTCCACATTTTTGTCAGTGTGTGGAAGTCTCCGAAGATTTGGCAATGTCTCTTGCTAGCCCCAGGGACCCACTTTTGTTTCTTCATTGACTGAGTTTGTTCTCTCTCTTTCTACTCTTTTCTTTTCTTCTCTCACTTAAAAAAATAGCAAAAGGCATTTTAAATGAGTGAGGCAGTGAGGTGCCAGAGTTGTGACTTCCATACCTCGGTGAGTAATGATAGGATTAAAAAACATTCCATATGTTTCATTCAGGTATCTGTCCAGGGACTTAGCCAGAAATAGAAAGCGATAGAAAGCAGGATATCACAGTGGAGCACAATACAGAGCCGTGTTCACAGAGTCCTGTTACACCTCTTTCTTCCCTTCCCATCCAGCTCCCCAGGGGCCGGAGGAGCTGGGATGAAAGAGCCTTTCATGGAATGAAAAGCCAAGAAAGCCACACAATTGCCAGTGTCTTGGAGACAACAGTAAATGGAGTGTGACGTTCAGTTAATTAAGTGATGAAGGCAACAGAGCTCTTCCTGAGTTTGGTTGCCCTGGTGCCTTCAGAAGCAGAGGCAAGTCTGAGTTCGAGCCCTTCTGGTCCTAACAACTTTGCCATCAGGGGTTTATCTGAGCTCTGCCTTGAGGCAGAGTGAAAAATAATCACCACCAACTCTAAAATTGACAAAAGTTCTTTTTCAAGGTTCTTCTCCTCCACTGCGGTGGCGTGTGGTGTGTGGAAATAGCATTGAATTTGCAATCCAGTAGTCTCAGATACCAGTCCTGGCTGAACTTCCTTCTTGCTACAACTTGATTTCTCCTCTGTAAAGTGAGTTGACAGTAATTCTTACATCACAGGGCCATTGAATGGATCAAGTAGCATAAATATGTGTTTTATAAACTAATAGGTATTATCGTGACATTGACATTGTAACTACTCCTAACTGGACTGAAAACATTCAAAGAAAGGCAGACTAGAGCTGATGAGAAAATGAAAGAGGTCCAAATGGAAGGGAGTGAATTGATACATATTTCTTTCTTTCTTTCTTTCTTTCTTTCTTTCTTTCTTTCTTTCTTTCTTTCTTTCTTTCTTTCTTTCTTTCTTTTTTTTTTTTTGAGACAGAGTCTTACTCTGTCACCCAGGCTGCAGTGCAGTGATGTGATCTCATCTCACCACAACCTCCACCTCCTGGGTTCAAGCAATTCTGGGACTATAGGTGTGCGCCACCATCCCCGGCTAATTTCTGTATTTTTAGTAGAGATAGGTTTTTGCCATGTTGGCCAGGCTGGTCTCAAACTCCTGGTCTCAAGTGATCTGCCTGCCTGAGCCTCCCAAAATGCTGAGATTACAGGTGTGCACCACTGCGTCCAACCAATTGATAATATTTTTGTGAAGTCTTTAAATATACAGACATATATATATGTTATTTTTATTTATTTAATTTTTTGAGATAGAGTTTCACTCTTATTGCTCAGGCTGGAGTGCAATGGTGCGATCTTGGCTCACTGCAACCTCTGCCTCCCAGATTCAAGCGACCCTCCTGCCTCAGCCTCCTGAGTGACTGGGATTAAAGACATGAGCCACCATACCAGGCTAATTTTGTATTTTTAAGAGATGAGGTTTCACCATGTTGGTCAGGCTGGTCTCGAATTCCCAACCTCAGGTAATCTGCCCGCCTCGGCCTCCCAAAGTGCTGGGATTACAGGCATGAGCCACCATGCCCGGCTATATATTTTTATTTTTAACATTAGATTACACATGCCATCTTAAAAATGAGCTCTTGTTTTTTCTTGTCTCCTCATTCTATTTTGTTTTATCTACCATTAGCCCACCCAGCTGGCTAGAGGAAAATTAAATCACAAAGGAATAATCATTTAATTGTGATTTTTGTACAGTAGTAGCTGCTCAGGATGGACATGAATTAACCAGAAAGTCCACATCTAGTAGGCAAAAAGAAGACTCCCTGGATGAAGCCTGGGTAGTTTCCTGGCCAGTGATCTGCTTGTTCCCACATGGGAGGTGGCCTGCCTCTCAGAGACTCTTGAGTCCCTCCTATGACTTCTGGATTTATTGGTGTTCACTTGACAAATGAACTTAGACATCTGAGTTTCTGAATTTGTCTGAACTATGTGAGTTTGGTCTCTCAGAGGTCTTTGCTCCTGGTGCCTATATCTGCTTCTCCCCAGAACATCATCTCAGCTTTTCATCTCCACATCCACACGCCTAGACTAATAAGTCAATCCTTCTCCCCAATTGTTCCCAACTTTATTGATTGATGTTGACACCACTAGCTTGTCAAAGTTGTTGAGTAGGTAAGTTTTGTGTTCCTTTCCTTGACAGATTCAAAGTCTTCATTTATGTCTTTCCTAAGGTACAAACTTTCTCAGAATCTCAGGCATGTCGTATAATTTATAAAATAATACAAAACTCCAACCAAGTCTGGTATGAAAGCATATATCAGCATTTCCAATGGTACCCTAATGCCCAACCCCAGTCTCTTCACATACAATAGGTGAGATTACATTAAAACAGTGACTCTCACATTCTCCTACAACCTGACATTCTCAGATTAGAAGAGATAGCTCAGTACAGTAGTGATTCTTGTGAGGACAGGAGGGGTGGTAAGGGGAAATACCTTTCCTCAGTTGGACCAGAAGCTTGGGGAGGAAGAGGAGCTGTGCTAGTTTAAATAGGACTCTCCAGTAGGAGCTGGAATGTGGTTAAAGCTAAACACATGAACTGACTATTGAGGTTACTTCTTGAAACATGTTGCCATTCCTTGGCTTTCATCATCAGCTCTAGAACCACAATTTTTCCATATGTATCATATGATTATAATTTGACTTGTTCAGGCTGCTCCCACGACCAGAGCACAAACTCATGCCCTAGTTCTATTCAGATGTTTTGATATTGTTCCCTGGAGCCTCAGTCTCTTTTGGGAACCGTAGTAGGTTACATAGTGTGCCTCCCTCATATTAGTGTTCACCCAGAACCTCAGACTTTATTTGGAAATAGAGACAGTGATGATGAATTTTATGTGTCAACTCAACTGGGTTAAAGGATAGACCAGATATCTGGTCAAACATTATTTCAGGGTGTGTTTGTGAATGTGTTTATGGAAGAGATTAGTATTTGAATTGGTAGACTGAGTGAAAAAGAACACTCTCACTAATGCAGGTGGGCAGCATCTAATATATTGAAGGCCCAGATAGAACACAAAGGCAGAGGAAGGATAAATTTGCTCTGTCTTCTAGAGCTGAAACGTCTTTCTTCTCCTGCCCTCAGACATCTGTGCTTCTGGTTCTTGGGCCTTCAGACCCAGAATGGGACTTACACCGTCATTCTCTCTGGTTCTCAGGCCATCAAACTCTAAAAGAATTCTATCTCTGGCTTTCCTGGATCTCTAGCTCACAGATGGCAGACTGTGGGGCTTCTCAGCTTCCAAAATCACATGAGCTAATTCTTATGATAAATCTCTTTGTATATATATTTATAACTAAAGCAGATTGCCCTCTGTAATGTGGGTGACCTTAATCTAATCAGTTGAAGGCCTGGATAGAACAAAAAGGCAAACCCTACTGCAAATAAGAGGGAACTCCTCCTGCCTGGCTGCTTTGAACTGGAACATTGATCTTTCCTGGCATATGGACTCAAACTGAAACATCTGCTCTTTTTGGGTGTCAAGGCTCCTGGCTTTTGGACTGAAACTTATGGCACTGGCTTTCTTGGATTTCAGGCCTTCAGACTCAGATTGAATAGCACATCAGCACCCCCGGGTTTCTAGCTTGCCAACTGAAGATCTTGGGAGCTCTCAGCCTTCATAATTGTGTGAGCCAGTTCCTTATAATAAATTGTGTGTGTGTGCCTGTGTGTGTGTGTGTGTGTGTGTGTGCACAATCTCCTATTGGCTCAATTTCTCTACAGAACCCCGGCTAATACAGGGCCTTTGAAGATGTAACCTATTAATCTAAGATAAGATCATACTGCATTAGGGTGGGCCGTGTTCCCATGACTGATGTCTTTATAAGAAGAGAAAAAAGAGGCAGAGGCTCTTAGAGAGAACATCACATGATGTCAGAGGCAGAGATTAGGGTGACGCACCTGCATGCCCAGAGACACCAAGGATTGTCAGCAACCACCAGCAGCCAGCAGAGAAGCATGGAGCAGATTCTCACTCGGAGTCGCCAGAAGGAACCAACTTTGCTGGTATCTTGATTTCAGACTTCTAATCTTCAGAACAGTGAGAGGATACATTTCTGTAATTGTAAGTGACAAGTTTGTGGTACTTCGTTATGGCAGTAAGAAATTGCTAGTTTCCTACTCAACAACCTGCCTCCAGTCAGTTCCTCTCTACCCTCTGTTGCCATCCAGGACTGAGGTGCTGGTTCCCGGGCCCACCTAATGTCACATTGCTCCAGCAATGTAATGAAGGCCCTTCTACTCTTACCCTCCCCATCTGCCTTCCCTGCTGACAAGCAGCTGTCTGTCTGAGTCTCTTCTAGTGCCTGCCCTGAGTCTTTCCCTGTTGTGGTCTGGAACAAGCAGTCACAGCCTTCTTGCTACCTTCACTGGCACCATCGGATGGCCTGGACTCCCACCTGCTGCCTGATGTTAGCCCTCTGGCCACGAGGAACCATCCACCTGGCTGCAGCAGGGTCTGTCTCCACAATGCCTACTCCATCCCCACTGTGTTGGGAGGGGATAGTCTGTTCTAGGTCTGATTCCAGTCTATTTTACCCTCTTAGATATCCTTCTGTGCTAGGTTACCTGGTAAGGCAGGAAAGTCAGGGTCTGAATTCTCTTAAGTCTTGTTGTCGTCCCCTCAGAAACTATTGCTTGCTGCAGGCTTCCCCCAGCCTCCGTTTTATTTACTATGCAGCAAGTAGAGTCCCTCTATCTGCCTGGCACTTGGCCTCGTTTAGATTCTTAAATGTGCTGGCAAAAGAGTCTGTCTTTCTATGGGGAGCTCCTTTTGTTCTTTCATCCTTTTGACTTTCTTCCTTCTTCCTCTTTCATTCTTCTAAAAATGAAAACAAAGGAATTTTAAATGAGCCAATTCATTGCTTACAAAAACGGTCTTATCCATATTTTGGTGAGTAATTAGTAGCATCGGAATCCTGCCTGAGCCATTTTTTTTTTGGCCTCCCATCCCACCCCAGTCAGCCTAAAAGTTATAATCTCTAAAATTAAAGTAAGAAGATACTTTGGCTGCTTTTTATGCACAAAAACTTGTATATATATACACATATGTGTACATATATATGTCTTTGTGTGTATTTATAGAGTGTGTGAGACAGAGAAAGAGAGAGAGAGGTTAAATAATCAGTCACAGGAGGCATATGACACATGAATACAAGAGGCAACTACAAGGATTACTAGAAGCCAGTTGGGTGACAACCATGTACACCTGCACAGGACAGATGCAGGAAACAAAGATACACTATCTCTGGGACCTTTTTATGGAAAAATAAATTTACCTTACTTTGGGGATGTGTGACTGTGGAGAATGCGGCTTAGTATTTATGGAGTGTTAGTCTTGTAGTTAGTGGTTTGTCAGTTCGTAAAATTTTAGAGCTAGAGGACCTCTTACCTTAAAGATGAGGAAATGGAGCCCATGGAGGTTATCCATTCCATAAGCCACAAGCAATAAAGTGTGGCCACTCACATCTAGAAACACATCTTCAATGCAGAATCAGTGCCCAGCAATCACAGGACTGAAAGGAACTTTCATGACTTTTCTTCTCTGTCAACAGTAATAGGTGGTCTTTGGGATTTCTGATCATTTAGGCTACTCAGGAACTGGATCCCAGTTTCCCTAATAATGTGTTGCATTTGCAAAGTTGACCCCAGAATAATCTGCTTCTTCTAGTCCCACTGTCCAGTGTGCCATGGGATAGTTACCTGCTCTTCTTGTCCTTCTTTGTCTTCTTAGATAATGTTTTTGTATACCCTGTATATAATAAAGGGAAATTTTACCAGTGGTTTAAGATTGCCACAGACCATGCTAAAACTCTTTCCATGATTTAGCAGATACTCTCAGAGCACCTCTCAGATGCCCTCAATCCTTTGCCGGTTACCATTCGTGCATACAGTTTCAGATGTGTTTCTTTTTGGGACAGTCAGTCCCCAACTCTGTCTGAGGACTTCCCTTGGGATACAGAACTTTAGCTTTTCTTGTGTATGCAGACAGCTGCAAGAGCTTAGGAATTTACATCCCTCAGGGGGTATCCCTTAATGACTGATGAGTGTGAGAGTATAAATAATCCAGCTACCCTGCTTCTAGTTTGGGATAACCCTAGTTTTGTGATTTGCTCTCCAGTATTTCCTTGCACAACTGAGCTAAAGTTACACTCACAGAACTTTGCTTCATATTGCATCCTTGCTTGACTTCCTTCCCTTTCTATGTCCCACTTCTCTTCTCCCCTATGGATTTTGCCAGGGGACACTGTGTAATAAACCACCTCCATAAAGATCATCATCTCAGAGTCTGTTTTTCAGGGACCAGAACCCAAAACACATGGACTATCTTACTTAGTACTCCCAACAAGCCCATAATGTAAGTTTTTACAGAAGAAAAAACAGAGGCTCAGAATGGTGGAGCCAAGTTTCCTGTCCAGTTTCCCTGGCAGCCAAGTCCATGCTCTCAGCCCCTCCACTGTCTGAGGCTTAGTTCTGTGGTGCTCCTCTTCCCCTGACTCAGGGCTGGCTAACCCACTCTTCTTCCTGGGTAGGTGGAGCCAATGTCCTCTATCAAGTTTCTCTCAGCTGACCCCGGCATGTCCACTAGGGAACTTGACATTTTTCCCAAGCCTTTGTAACTCCTTTGCTGAGTCTGGACTCTAGAAATCCCATACATCATCATCTCCTATGAGCACCAATGAATGATTTAGACTCCAAATGAATAAACATAGCATATATTGTACTCAAAACCTTCACCCCACATACATTTGAACTCTAGAGTTAGATTCCTTATGCCCTTGCTACTCAAAGTGTGGTCCATGGACTAGCAACATGGGTATCATCTGGGAGCCTGTGAGAAGTGCAGAAGCTCAGGACCCACCCCAGATCTGTTGAATCAGAATCCGTATTTTGAGAAGACCCCCTAGGAGTCATGTAGGTTGAAATTGAGCCCGAGAGGAACAGGACCTGATTTTGCCACGCACTCCCATGAATTCAGCCACCTGGATTCCAACCCAGTCCCTCTGCTCACCACCCCTCCCTGGCATGAGCTCCCAGCATTCCATTTAACCAGGAACAGGCCTTCTGTGTATATTCAATTCATTGGATTGTCAGTCTCTCCTCTAGCTAAGGAATTCTGCCTCTCTTCTCACATCAATCTCCCTTTTGATCAATTTAAAGTGATTTTTCTTCCTGAACTAAAATGGACTCTCACCTTGGGTGGGAACAAGATGGCTATTTGCCTAAAAGACAGATAAACTACACATACTCTTAATATACAGGATACAGCCTGCAGGAAAGACTCAAGTAGAAAGTGTAAGATGAGTCCTGACTTTTAACTTGAATTAAAAAATACCTAGTGCCCTGACTAGAAAGATGCATTCTGAGAAAGGAGTACCTCCATATCAGATCATTTGTGAGAAGTGATTCCTTGAAACTTGGCTGTATTGAGGGCAAAGATTGCTGCATTCAGCTGTTCTTTATTAGAACTCCTGAAGATGCACCTGCTTGGAAATACAAACCTGCTCTGTGGAAAAGGGAGAGAAATTTGTGGAAAAACAGAAGGAAGTAGTGAGGAGGCTGCTCCATAGGTTTATTTTGCAATCTTCACAGACAGTTTTGTTAAAAAGCCTTCCAGTCATAATAGGGCTGTGCATGATGTTTGTTGAGAAAGGAAATAATTTGGTAGATGGCTAGTTCCATGTGCAGAGCTATTGCAGCCACAAGGAAATCTGAAGGTATGCAGATTACTTTGGATATTTGTTATGGAAAACACCAGTGGGCCTGACTCCTTTCCACCGTCAGTAGCTCCTTTTAACTCCAGTAGCAATTCACCTTGGCTTTTTCCCTACTCATTCAATTCTTCCGTGGTTCTTCTTAGGTCCTCCTTATTTGGCCTTAAGCTGGTCAAAAGAGAGATTTCCATTGTACATCAAAGAAGAGTTTAAAAAACAACTAAGCAAATCACAGAGCAGAGAGGCTGACAAGCTTCCACAATACATTGCATATCCTTTGAGGCTATTGTTTAGCTCATAACTCTGCAGAACATTTCCTATAAGGGGTCAGAAAGTAAATAATTGGCTTAGCGGGCCATATGATCTCTGTGGTAACTATTTATCTCTCCCATTCAAGAGAGAAAGTGGCCATAGACAATATGGACATGACCGAGAGTAGTTGTGTAGCAATAAAACTTCACAAAAACAGGCAAAGGGTGCATTTTACCTGAGCCCTGCTCTAGAGAGACTTTATGATCTTCTCCATCACACATCTTCACCCTGGTCCAAGCTACCTTTATTCCGTAGTAACGTAACAATAGTTTTCTAATTAGTCTCCTTCTGCTTCCATTCTTATCAGCCTCTAATCCTTTCTTCCCACAGCAAAATGAACTTTAAAACATAAGTCAGAACATGTCCCTCCTGTGTCAAAACGCTTCAGTAGGTTTCCTTTTCAGAAAGCTTTGGATATTATGCCGTTGCCTCTTCTCCCCTCCCAGTCCCTAGCTTCATCTCTTATTGCTGTTCTCTTGGTGTCTCTGTCACAATGCCTTTCTTTCAGTCCCTAAAACACTCCAACTTCTTTCCTATCTCTGGGTTTCCCATAGGTGGGGCTCTGCCTGAAAGACCCCTCTCCCTCCTTTGCCTGGATGGTCCTGCTCCTGTTTTAAGTTCTAGAATTGGTGTCATGTCCTAGACTGGCTCCAAACTGAATTCTGTCTTCTTTGTTATTCTCTCGTATGGCAGCTTGTTGTTGTGTGTTTTTTTAAGCACTTTGTGTAATTTGTAATTATAAGTATACCTTTGTTTTTTGGCTACCTCTCTATACCAATGCAGTAAGCTCTATGACAGCAGAGGCTATGCAGTTTGCCACCATGGACTTGGTGTCCAGAGCAGTGTTGTCACAAGGTAGGCTCAGGGTCTTGATTTTGGATAAATGAACAATTGGGCAAATGTGTAAATTAGGTGATTATGTGTGACAGGAAAGGGATTCTTTGGGTAGAAACAAAACAGGGTACAAAGTCAACATCAGATCAGTTGCAGACTGCTTTGTGGAAAATGAATGAGTCAACAGGAAAAGCCAAGTAAAGACTGAGATAGGGGCTGAGTAAGAACGAAGGAGTTAGCAGGCAGCAAGTGTTGGCAACATGCTATGGACTGAATGTGTCTCCCCAAAATTCATGTGTTAAAATCTCACACCTCAATATGACGGCATCAGGAGGTGGGGCCACTGGGAGGTGGTTAGGGTGTGAGGATTGAGCTCTCCTGAATGATATCTGTGCCTTATAAGAAGAAACACGAGAGAGCGTCCTCCTGTCTCTCTCTCTCCCCTGTCCCCCTCCCCTACCACCATGTAAGGATACAAGAAGACAGCCATCTGTAAAAACAAGAAAAGAACCCAACCATGCTGGAACCCTAGTGTTGAACTTCCAACCTCCAGAACTATGAGAAAAAAGTGTGTTATTTAAGCCACCCAGTCTATGGCACTCTGTTATAGCAGCCTAAACTAAATCAATGACAGACAGAAGACCTTTGAAGGCAGAAATCAGATTTCTTTGTTTCTCTTTGTGCCAGCACATGACAGGACACTCCATAAATCCCAGGGTAAACTCAGAAAATGAAAAGAAGAGGTACTTGATTAAAGGATGGAAGCTTAGAGAGGGTTTTGGGGGTTCCCTACAGTTTTAAGGTTCAAAGACAAACACATTAGGCGTCAGGGGACATTCTACTTGGTTAAATACTAAAGAGAATGGTAAATTAGAAAAAAGAATATGATTGATTCCTTAGGGTAATAGAGATAGAAGATTTGGTTAGTGGAAGTATGGTAGAGAAAGGAATGAAAG